CTATGTAACACAATTTTTGTTCCTGGGTAGTAAGTGTCATTTCGTAATTGCTTATGCCTAAAAGTACAGAAGATGGATATTATTCCCCACAAACTTTGCTTTTGTGACCAGGACAGTGATATTTTTAGATTTACATATTTTCTAGAACATTCCAGATATATTCAGTGCTGGGTAAACTTGGAGTAACTACTATAACATTCTAGAACTTTCTGGCGTCTACAAACTAAGCTGTGTCTGCGGCAGTAGTTACATTGGGGAAACTAAGCGACATGTCTCGGACCATGTTCGTGAACATAAGGTATATCTGTAACATGGTAGGACCAATACCTCGGCCGTGGCTGATCATTGTTTTAATGCTGTTATCATCATCATCACCCGCATTATCCTGATAATCTCAGTCATCATCACCCTCATGGTAACTGTAATCATTGGACGCGGTGCAATCTCTGTGGAGGATCGGATCACGTGCAACTGCTGGGTGGATTGTTACATCGCAGGATCGTGGGAGATGGTGACTTCTTGGGGAGACCCTCATCCAGTAGTGGATTGGTCATGGCTGATGACCGATTATCAAATAAATGATAATGATGATGCCGTAGCGCTATAACACAAGATAACGGAATTAGACAGTGGATACTTACGTCAATGCTGAGTGAAGCTGTCTATGAATCTAAATTGGTGATCATAAGGCGCCCTTTAATTAACCAGGTGAGAGTCAACAACTCATTAGGGGGGGTGAGACCCCACTGGGTTAAACACCCCCTCGGGGAGACTTTTATGCGATTGCTTCTCAAATCCAGGACGTGGGTGCTGTCAGCAATTCCAGATGTAACTGAACTCGGTCCTTTGCCGTCACAGTCCGTTATTTGGAGTCCAGAATTTGAATCTACAGTAGAACCTCTGTTCATGACCATAATTCGTTCCATAACTTTGCTCGCAACCGGATTTGGTTGTTACTCGAACCTAATTTCCCCATTGGATTGTATGTAAATACGATTAATCTGTTCCAGACTCCTACAAACTGTATATAGATATTGTTTTTTAAAGATTTTTAAGCACATAAATAGTTAATTATGCCACAGAATTCACAGTGTAATAGTAAACTAAATGTAAAAATATTGAATAACACTGAGAAAACCTTGAACAACAGAGAAAACTAACATTGCCGCGTCAAAGTTTAGAATCGTTCAACAAATGATTGTTTCGTCTGCTACATCAGTCGGTCGATTCTGAGAGAGAGAGAGAGAATATTCGTATGAGCAATTCATGTTTCTATTGAAAGTAAGTTAACAGTAATTTTTTGGTACAGTATTGTTTTTGGAAGCATTCACCGTAATATCGAATAAACATTTACTTCACCGCATCATCGTATGAATGATGTGAGAAGAGATTAACGGGTTTTTACGTGAGCGATTTACGTACTCAGCGCTTTCGCTCTCTAAATTACGGCATGAATAAGGGGGGAGGGGTATGACTACACTCACAAAATGAATATCTTACTAGGAATGATATGGGTCTCTGTTTGTAAACAAACAACAGAAAATTTGGCGCTTAAAAAAAAATGGCGCGGAAGGGGAAATCGGCTTCGGCCGTGTTTGATCACCACCCGAGTATGTGTTCGTGACCAGATTGAAAAATGTCGTGAAATATTTGGTCGGAACCCGATTTGGTCGTGGTTAGAAGCGTTCGTGACCAGAGGTTCTACTTTATGTAGCACCAACACTGCTAGTGACGTGGAGCTCCGCGTGCTCCCAGCTCTGAATGAGACCCATAGACTCCAGCACAGACCTCGCCTCCTCCAATACTCAATCACCTCTATTCTGACACCACTACTCATGGTAATATTAAACTAGTAATAGTTCAGAAATATAATAGGTAAAATACTGCTCTACTAATTATGATTATATAATGCCATCATTATATTTGTTTCATACCCCCACGGCTAATGTGACCAGCGCTACTGTAGTGAGAACAGAAGCTCCCCGCTCAATGTAACGTGTTACAGAGACACAGATTACGTAATGACAAAAACAATGACGCACGAGTTGGTTTAATTTGGGAAATTAATTTGAAGATGATAATTTGATATAACTTGATAATATCTTTATATGAATACTAGCTGTACTACCCGGCTTCGCCCGGGACTTGTATCTACCACGGCCGGCCGCCTTTGTCTCCCCAGTGGCGATGTTAATACGCTACAGTAGTTAAGTTACTCGTTTGAGGCAGAGTCGACCTAGGGGAGGTTCAAATAATCGTCACCGGTGGTGGCCGTGAGCGGGAATCGAACTGGGTTTGCCGGGTTGGTAGCGCAGCGTAGCGTTAAGCACTACACCCACCGCTCCTCACACACCACACACGCACAGACACACACACAGACACACACACAGACACACGCAGACACACACAGACAGAAACACACACACAGACAGCACGCTAACCACTACACTACCGCTCCCCACACACCACACACGCACACACACAGACACACACACAGACACACACACAGACACACACACACAGACACACACACACAGACACAGGCAGCACGCTAAGCACTACACTACCGTTCCCCCTACACAACACACGCGCGCGCGTCCATTGCTGCAGACACACACGACTTTCAGGGTGCATACGGCAGTAAACGACTGAAATAATAAAGCGGCAATGCTGTGTAAGGAACGCCTTAGACCCGCATTATACATTTGTGTAATGCGAGCGTAAACACACAAACACACACAAACACATACACAATACACACACACATACATGCAGACACACAACACACATACATACACACACATACAAACACAGAAACACATACACACACATACATAGACACACACATACATACACACAAACACATCCACAGACGTACATACACACATACATACAGGCACGCAGACATACACATAAACACATACAAAAAAACCCACATACATACACACACATACATACACACAAACACATGCACACACATACATACACACATGCATACAGACACACAGACATACACATAAACACATACACACATACACATGACCCGGCTTCACCCGGGACTTGGATCCACCACGGCGGCAAAACCGACATACATACACACACAGACATACACACAAACACATACACACACATACATACAAACACATACACACAGACATACACATACACACAAACACACACATACATGCACACAAACACATACACAATACACACACACATACATGCAGACACAGACAGACACATAACACACATACATACACACACATACACACACATACATAGACACACACATACATAGACACACACATACATACACACAAACACATGCACACACGTACATACACACATACATAGAGACACGCAGACATACACATAAAGACATAAAAAAAACCCACATACATACACACACACATACACACAAACACATACATACACATACATACACACATACATAGAGACACACAGACATACACATAAACACAAACACACATACACATGACCCGGCTTCGCCCGGGACTTGGATCCACGATGCCCCGCCGCCTTTGTCTCCCCAGTGACGATGTTCACACACGACAGCAGTTACGCTTTTGAGGCTGAGTGGACCTAGGGGAGGGCCAGGTCCGTTTCAAATAATCGTCAGCGGTGGTGGGCGTGAGTTGGAATCGAACTGGGGTCGCTCAAGCAGCTTAATGACTGTTTGTACAAAGAACATATAAAGAATCGATTATAATAACCAGGCAAGAGTCCACATTATAGACTGCCAGTACACGCACTCAGCTTCATAAGCAGGCTAGAGTGTACATGATAGAGTGGCAGTACGCTCACCGAGCTTAATAAGCAGGCTACAGTGTACATGATAGACTGGCAGTACGCTCACCCAGCTTAATGAGTATTTGTACAGTGAACATTAAAGTAATCGATTGTTGGCACGTTGGGTTTAAAAGTAATATTAATAGCACACATTGTGGTGGGGGTGTAGTGAAGAGTAGGAAAAACTTTGATGAATTTACCTCAGAGTGGCGTGGTGGGTGTCGAGGCCTAGTAGCGTGCAAAGCCTGCGGCCTCGCCTAAAATTGTCGGCTTGGAAGAGGCAGGGTACGGGTGGCGTTCCTTCCCCCCCCCCTAGCGCTCCAACAATACTGTGTAATGGGTATTATTTAATTAAATACGGAGCTTATGAAAGTGGCGAAGGCGTGGCTAGCCGTTGGCAGGGGCAACCGCCGTCCAATGAAACTGCAGCCCTTGGCGAAGGCGTGGCTAGCCGTTGCCAGGTCCAATGAAAGCGGCGAAGGCGTGGCTAGCCATTGCCAGGGGCAACCGCCGTCCAATGAAAGTGCGTATGGGCCAAAGTCCACACACACACACACACAGACAGACAGACAGACATGAACGATTTTATATATATAGATGACTCGTGTTTACTGTTTCCATAGTATGAACTGCCTGTCTGTCTCGGTTTTATGACTCGTTAGTTCGATCCATAACGTTAAATCTTAACTTAAAGTTTTCGTGACTGCAGGAATTCATATTCTTTGGGTCTTTCGCTAAGGTTACATAGAACCTATCTATGTGACTTTACCGAAAGACCCAAAAAACATAATGCTAAGGCAAGGTTTCCCAAACTCCAGGTCTCGTGTCCCACCATGATATGTCTTCAGACTTGTCCAATTATTTTACTGCATTCAAACGTGAATAAAGTTTTTACATGCTGCACGTATAAAGACTTAATTTGACTCACCAAGCAATTAACGCCAAGAGCAATAGGCCACATACCCTCCGGAGGATCTTGCAAGAGCTCCCTCCAGTGGAGGAACTTCCTTCTCTAGTGGCGTAATCCAGGCACCTGCAGGGCTGCACCTTAATCTGTTACTTCTCGTTGGAGAGATTGACAACTGACCCGGGGCATTGAACGCCGACAGGGATGAGCGCTTTTCTTGAATTCGGCTCGAGCCATTGGCTGAGACGCAGGTTGAGTGAACGATCGCAGTTCGACAAGATGGTCAACAGCGCACCTCCATCCACGTGGTCATGACGCAGCAGGCCATCTCCATTGCCAAGGTGACCGGGGGCACTCTCATGTCGCACTTCGACCCGGCGTCACGCGCGGTGCTCTGCATTGGGGGCGTGATTAGAATTGACAATGAATTTTATCTGGCAATCGCTTTGATCGAATGTCGATGTTGATGTACAGCTTAGACGAGGGTTCTTCAACTGGTGGGATATTGGGGAGCTGTGTTGCAATCGCTAGCTGGAGATGGATGAGCAAAGCTCATTTACAGACATGGAAGACACCCGCATTTTGAAAAGCGTAGCAATCCACGGTTATGCACCGTTTTCCCCCTCACAATCCAACGCGCATCCATTTCCCAAGCTGGCATCGTGGCAAGTGTCAACTTGAGCTGCTCCATGCTGGTGGCCGCTAACCCTGCATAGTGCCGCTCCAAACCCAAGAAGGTCGTGGAGCAGAAGTTGCTTAGGTTTACCTGTAGAAGAAGCTGCGTCTGTGAAACGCGCCCCTGGAAATGCTCTTCAGTTTATTGATGTCCAGACCCAGATTAGTCAGCTGGGTCAGTTTGTCCAACACCCTAACGGGTAGAGCCCACAGCTGGTTCGTCCTGAGAAACAGATAATGCAAATTCCCCAGGCGGGGAGAGACGTGAGTTCCTGCACAGGAACCTCAGACTCTCGCTCTCCACTGTTATATGACTACAAAGAACATGGGTTACATTTTACTCACCCTTCAGCTTTTGAGCGGTTTTTTATTTATAACATAAAAAAATTAATCATTGAAAGCCATTTTTTCTGTCCACTGCTGGATGAAGTGATCATATTTCACCACGCTGGTTGGGGGGGCATGGAGGCAGGGGAAGTTGGGCCACCACCAATATTGAGCAACGAATGGACTCATCTTTTAGTCGAATAGACTAAATGAAATAGGCAGATTAACACATCGGCTTTCGCGACCAATATCCATTAAAGAGGTATTTTGGGTTAGATCGCGTAAATATATAAATGTGTCGTTAAAACCCTCCATCACCCGACACAGCCAACTAGTACGGGTTGTCACGTAAACAGAACATGCCAATTCGTCACTAATACACACCGGTGTGTTGGTGAGCCAAGCCACAACATTTACAATTTGAATATGACGTTTCGTCAGTAATTACAACTAGCTTCATCAGGTGACAGCCAGATTTGTGAAGTCCACCTGTTCCATTCCTTATATAGAGGCATAGATGTCGTAACCACACTTCTGTGCTCTTGCGCAAAATGGGGGGGGGGGGGGGATTAATGAGTCAACGTACATTATGCATGCGCATTATGCAAGCTCTTTGATCTTGTCCTTCCTGACACAACATTTACAATCTGAGAATGACGTTTCGCCAGTAATTACAACTAGCTTCATCAGGCGACAGCCAACGAGAAGTAATGAGTCAACATATATTATACATGCACATTATGTGAGCCCTTTGATCTTGTCCTTCCTCGGACACGGGAGATCCTCCGATAACAAAATAGCACCCACCATTTGCGTGGTCCCACGTCCAGAGCCCTCTGCTCCTGCTCCGACAGTAGGTCCGGCTCAATTTTCCCCGCTCTCCTCTGTGCCGTCCCCTGGGGTCCATGCCTCATGTCAGCCCGCACCCCTCTCCACATGGCAGTTTCCCGCCATGCTGCTTGGTCGGCACTTGACCACGGGTAATCTTGGCCGCTCTCACCATCGACGTGCGGCTTCCACTCTCTCTCCATCAATGCGCAGCCTCCTTCTCTGTTGACGCTCTTCCGCTCCTGCCACCTGGCATAGCACTCTAGCTGTCGACACTCGGCTGCTCTCTTTCCATCAATGTGCTGCTTCTCTCTCCGCTGACACCCAGCAGCTCTCTCTCCATCGATGAGTAACCACTCCCACAGTCAACACCTCAGCCGCTTTCTCTCCGTCGACATGCAGCTTCTCTCTTCATCGACATGCAGCATCTCTCTCCATCGACGCCCAGCAGCTCTCTTTCGGTCGAAGCGCGGCCGCTCCCGCCTCTTTGCATAGCCACTCCCACCATCAACGCCCAGCCGTTCTCCCCTAGGCGATGCATAGCCGCCCACCCCGCAATTTCGCGCAGCAGCTCTCCCGCAAATCTGCTGCCCAGCAGCCTTGGGTTTCTTAACCAGATTCCCAGATCCCGGTGCTGTCGGGGGATCGACCTTCTCGCCGTTCTCGTCCCTACGACACTACTGGTGGGTTTTTATACCCCACTTCTGACACCAAATGTAGTGTCGTCTATGCGTGCGGGTGGCGTGTGTCGCACACACAGTCAGCCAGAGACGAGGTGGTCACAGGAGGCACCGCTCTGCCCTTTCATTGTTGTTGCCGAGCTCACACCACCACTCAGGCCCCCTCTCTCTCCTACACACGATCCTGCTGCCGCATGACCCGTCCCAGACATGACCCTGTCTGCATTGCACTGACGGCGTCGACCGGGGCAGCCAACTACTGTCTGGCTACACAATGATCGGGCGAAGGTGGCAGCAACGAGGGCGGCGACAACGACAGTGATAACGAGACGAGTCCAATCCCAGAACCAGCAGCCCAGAGCTCTCGCTCTCTGCTGCTTATATTCCCCTTGGCACGGCTTGGCTCCGCCCTAGCTGCACCTCCCTTCTCGAACCCTCTAGAGGGTTCCAGGGGCTTCCAGATGAGGTCTACCATGACCCTTGCCCCAATTTCTCCACCCTGCGGGCACACCCGCGTATATTCTCAGCGGCATGTGCTCTCACTGCCCACCTTCTGTTGCTGCTGCTGGACAGCGCTATGTCACTACATCTGTATACATAACATCTCAAAGTATTTGTATAACATTCAGGTGCCACACAATATTTCGAACTTTCAAGTTATGTTTATTCTGTTTCTGTATGTATTTCGTTTTTAGCAATTAATTATAAAATTGTCATGCTATTTTAATCCAGTAATAAATATTATACAACAAAATAAGAACTGTGTTTTGGATTTTGTTGAGTGAGGGGGAAGGGTTGGAAGGTTTGGAATCGGAATCAAAAGAAGCATCATTGCCATCGAATCATAAGACAACCGATTCAGTGGTCGCCTCCAAAATATTGGAAGCTGTCACCCCCCAGAGTAGTAACTCTAAAACACTGCACACCGTCTACTTTACAGCGGACGCTGTGTGTCGGGTAGTTCCATTCAAAACGAGTAGGTAATTTGTTTCCAGGGCCACGATCCACATTTACCATATTAAATATATATCCCGCAAATTACTCAATTGGGATGACACATAGCATCATCCACTACTTGACTAATGCCCGCTTGCAGACCAGATGTGCTACACAGGGACAACTGCCAATGGGGGTGTGTTCAAATACTTGAGATCGGTTGAGAGGTTAGTCATTTGAGTTTCTGAGAAATTTAAGATGGTGCCATGTGCATGCTAAAAAATTTTATTGTTGTAATAAATAGAGATGGGATTGATGCATCACATGCATCACCCAGTTGGGATTATCAGCCCCGGCGCTCCTTTTTTTTCGTCATTTTATCCACATTTCATTGTTATGGTTGTAATCGGTGTCATGTGAAATAATCTATTTGGAACTCAGTGAAACCCTTTATGTTGGAGAACAGTACGAGCAAGCGGATACCACAGAGCTACCTCTAAGATCCATTCAAGTTCCCTCTGGTCTATACATAGTAGAGGGCAGCACTTCCCCACTCGCTCTGGTTATAAGAGTAATGTATCTCGCTTGACAGTGAAATCAATAGTTTACTTCTACAAGTCATTTTTGTCTGTCTGTCTATTTGTCTGTGTGTTTGTGTGGATGAAACTTGCGAAGGATTTGGCTCGTGAACCATGGGATTTATGTTTTTAAAAAGTACACAGGTAGCACTGCATAAGCCCCGTGGTGAGCAAGCGCTATTCTGATTCCACACCCGTCGCCTATAAAGTACTTTAATCAGCAATTTAGTGCTGTTTTTGTTAATTATTTATTACCTTACGCCTCCTTGCGTGCCAAAGCACACATCTACACATGCACGCCCATCCCAACGCACGCATTGGGTGGGGGGGAGGGTGCAATTCTCATTGTGTGGACACAAGGCAACACACACACACACATTTGCAGCTCCCTTAAAACATTTATTACCATTGCTGTTTACTCATTACCATAACTATTATTTAATATTAAATGATAGGAATTACCAAATGTTTGATGACAGTTCATCTAAGCAACACGATTTTTCTCCACGACTACTAAGTGCTATTTTTAAATTGTTATTTACAAAATGCACACGTTAGGTGGGTGGGAGAGGACAATTCTCATTCGTGTGTCACAAGGAAACACAGATTTTCAGCTCCCTTAAAACATTTGTAGCGACATCGCGGATGTCACTGTGTGGTGCCGGCCCTAGAGAGTCACAGCGTGCGATGTATTCACATCGCGGACACCACTTTGATGTGGGTGCAGTACCGGCCTTAGAGGGGCTCGGTGAGCGCTGATCGATAGTGCTGGATGGAACCACGCTCAGCGTGCAGTGCCGGCCCCTACAGGATAGGGTGTGGGAGTGCCGGCCATGGAGATGCGGTTACGTGGCACTCTGGTTGACCCCAGAAGACACGTTACCGGTTAAGTCAACACAGGGTCCCCAAGTGGGGGATAGGGTTGGTCACTTGTCAGGGTCGAGATCCTGCTCGAGGATTCTGGAAGGTGGTCGTGGCCAAGGGCGGAGCCAGCCACGCCACAGAGGATATAAGTCGGGTCCCCCAGAGGGACCAGCGCTATTGTTCATCCTGAAGAAACATTCGTCTACGTTCTACGTCCCACAGAGTCTCCAACACGTGGACCGGGACCCAAGCTGGGGTCCGGTACATTGTAGCTAGTTACAGTGTAATTAGTGTAGTTAGCCTGGTGGTCACCACCATAAATTGTTATTCTGTAAAGGGGCAGTTACCCCATGTGTTGGTGTTAATAAATGTGTTGCCTCTAAAGAGTATGTCTGCGACTCAGTTGAACCCACTACAACTGGTGTCGGAAGTGGCCAAACGTTCTTTAATAAGCTAGCCATCTTAGGTTATTTTTACGCAAAGCAGACCACGTACTAGGACGTCGG